GGTTAGCCATGGATCTTATTCCAATCTCCAAGCATGTAGAGCTCTCCTCTCTTGATCTCTCTCTTTCATCTCCATGAAACCACTAAAGTTAGTCAGCTCGCCTCCTTATTATAAGCCTACTCCAAATTTCTTTTAGAAACTTTCTCATTCTTGTTATTCCAAGTCTAGCTATAGATAAATCATAGCAAGAGCATTAAGCTACAACATGATTTTGGAAAAGTTATCCATCGGGGTCGGCATATTCAAGTCTAGACTATAATATGAATTATTGGCCATCTACCAAAGAATTAGTGTATGGGGTTGTATTATATTTAATTCACTTCTACAACACTCTGTTTACAACTTAGTAGTGACAACAATTATAGGCTAGATAATTTAGGCGCAAAAACTCAATGTTATTTAATGGCAGTGCTTGTCCCTGCAGAGTGCCTGGTCAGATGGGAACTATCATTTGTAACTCAAGTATTCATGCACCTTTGGTTTTTTTCTTTGGCAATGATGGTTTTGGCAAGGTTTCTACGAATGGGACGATAGCCAATGCCATGTTGTTCAAGGAAAATCTGGCTTGATTATTTTGATGATACATATCAGTGTTTTCATCTTCAAGTTGTGTGTACACGGTATTGGGTGATTTAGTTTTAGGCCTACCAGCAAAATATTCCTGAACTTTCTTATGACTAGTGTGATGGCTACCTAAGGCTTAGTGTGATGGTGAAGAGTTTCTTGCAAGTATTGCATTCAAATAGTTGTCAAGCAATTAGATGGGTTAGCATTGGGACAGTAAATTTTGATTGAGGCGAAGGAGGCTATATGATTTTTTGGTTGACTTCCTTCTAGAAGTAGAGCACTCTCCTGCATATTTGAAGAAGGAAATAAAGTTGGAGTGGATTGTGAAGAGCAAGACGAGATTATTAGCAAGATTTTCTTATTTAATCAACATTAGAGGTAAAGGACAAATGATACTACTGGATCAATAGGGCGTTTTCCTTTATCTATATAGTGGGTGGACGACGGTGGAGAAAGATGATATGAGTTATCATATTTATATTTGCCACTGGAATCAATACAATATCTATAACAATGCTTGACAAATGATTTCAATGAAAGAAATTTTCTGTGGCAGTTTTTACAACTGTAGATGGTGAAGTGGCTGCTAGGGTTACTGTATATGACATAAATTCGCTTGCACTGACATAGTTCCGCTCAACTTTGGTGGTGGACGTGCCTTCGTTCAGGTAGGTACCCCCAATTCATGTCTGCTATTGATTCCCTTATTACATACACGACATTGAAGCTGTTGTTGCCCTTGTTACTATTCTAACAACTTTTATTATTGTTATATTAAATCAGATAGAAAGAAGGGTGGTGAAGTTTAGAGAAATTAGGGAGATGATTAGTTTTTAAGGGAGCTAGACTTACAAATGTGTATTATAATTCAAATAAATTTTCTCTTTTTAAAATACATTTAGCTCTACCTCAACTATTTTAATTATTTTAATTACAAACACACATTGATAATTATCGATCCCTTAAAAATTAATCATCACCTTGATTTTTCTCTATATCCACTAGCTTCTTCATATCTTGTCTGTGATAGCATTTACCATATATTAGTAGAAAGGGCAACATAAATTCCGTGACTATATATGCAATAAGGAATTGAATAGCAATCGGCCATTGAGCAGGCAGATGGGGCCCACGGGATTAACCATGAACCCATTCCCTATCCGAACAAAGGCACGTCTACTACCAAAGTTGAACGAGACCTCACCGATAAGAGATCATATATATGCAGTAATCATAACAAACACTGCACCAATTACATTTGCAAAAACTGCAACAAACATTTCTTTCATTGAAATCATTATCTAAACACTGTTGTAGGAATTACATCAATGCCAATGACAACAATGGAGATGAAAACTCAAATGGTCTTCCTCCATTATTGTCCACCCGCTCTAGAGATGAAGAAAAATGCCTAATCTTAGTGATATCATGAACATGAATGAGGGAGTGGAGAGTTCTACATGGTTGAAGATTGAGATCAGATCCATGACGAACTAAGAGAGCAGTGATGATCAGTCTAACTCATAAATTAATTTAAATTTTATTTCGTTGATTATTTTTACAAATAAATGCTAAAAAATCAATTAATAAAAAAGTCATTCCTTATATTTATTATCATTTGTTTTTTTTATATATATTTATGTATAAGTACTTTTTTAATATAAAACTATTAAACATGGAGTGCAATCAACATTTGTACCCGGAGGTCGTTAGATTGTGTTACATAAATGATCTCTCTACATGTGCAAGGGCATTGCTATGTAGGTCAACTTTTTTCAAAATCTTATAGTTACAAGAAATTTATATATGTATTACTTGATACACCTCAAGATATCAAATATTTCATACAACACATACAACATCAAGCCGTTATCCCACTATGTTGATCAAGTACTACATGAATTTTTTTTTCCAATGTGCCATATTAAGGAAAAATTATTATGTGTGGACCCCGGATGACATACGGAGATAAATCAGAACGTGCCACATTATTTTTTTGCTCGGTATCGGTGCTCTATACTGCTATGTACCGAGTGACATGGTGCGTTTTGTTGGTTTCCAGACCGTCTGGTATCCTCACAGAATAATTTCTTCATATTAAGAGTCAAGTTCTCATTTAAATCTAATAAATAAATGCCTGTTCTAATACTTTCGAACCAGTTCTTTTTAGGTCTACATCTACCTTGCTTAACATAGGCTGAATCTAATGCATCTATTCTCCTAATTAACGATGTCATCAGAGGGATGACATTTTATGTGGCCAAATCTCTCTCTACTATATATATATATATATATTGTGTTAAAAATATTTTGTGACGATAAAATATTTATAAATGTTTAATTTTTTTAGTTATCATACTCTCAAATCATGAAGCAATTAATAAAACTAACACTCTCAATATTGTTTGCTATATTTTTAATGATTTGGTTGGCTTGTACAAAATAAAAATATTTGTGTGAAAGAGAGAAAAAATAGGGATTTTTCATGATTATAAATCACTACTAACACCCTCAATGTGATGATTGTTGCATTTTTAATGATATTACAAATCATATGGACAAGGAAGTTGAGAACTCCATGATTGTTGCAGCCTAAAATATTGCATAAGATTTTCGACAATGATCACTCATATATTCAGGAAGATTAATGCAACCAGAAATAATTGTACTGTACAAACAAAATTTCTAGCTGAAGTAATAGTTCTTTGCATGGCTATTAAAAATTTAAGATACATCTTATAGTCCTTAGTTTTGCTAGCATGCTTTTTGAATAGAAGTGGAGACCATGATAAATTATTATGAGGTTTTTATACTTATTATTATTGATAAAGATCGAGAGGTGGTAGAAGTGGAGACCATGATAAACATTTGACATATTGATTATTATGTAAGGAATCCGGTGTAGAAGAATCTAAGAGGTAAAGATAAGAGAAGAGATTGAGAATGAGCGATGATCACAAACTTCAAAAGGATGGAATCGTCTTTTACTTTCAGTCTCTAATTAGTAGTAAGGGTTGAACATAACGCTCTCTATAAAAGGTGCTAAGGAATTTCTTCTACATTATTTTTCTGATCGAATTATGTTCATGCATGGTGTTTTCGGTTATTCTTGCCATACTCTCCATTCCTTATTGCTGGTACTTCGCTTCCTGTACGTGAGCAACCTTCAATGTTTATGGTAATAGCAAACATAACTGAGATTTCCTTTAAACATTCAAAATAACTAAAAAAAAAAAAGATCATGAGAGAGATTTATTACCTTCCCAAGGAAATAAGAATGAAATGAACCACCAACATAGGCTCGATTTTGATGGCCATTTATGCCTGCACAATGGAAACTTTCTCAGCAAAGAGTAGGGCTGAAAAAGTGGAAGGAAGAAGTCATACATAAACTAACTTCATACTTGTCAAGTTATAATTCTTATTTACCTCTTTTGTAACCACAGAGAACTGCTGCCTTCACTGAAATCATTATGTAATCCTTTAACATTTGATAATATATTAATTAATTTTATGTCATGTTTTACATCTACATTTTAATTAATCAGTTTGATATTAAAATAAATAATCAACTCAAAATCACATTAGAAATTTAATAACAATATATTATATATAAAAAATTATCTAAGATATATAGAGCTTTGAAGAATATATAACATATATAATTTAGGTGTTAAATTTTTTCTTATAAAAATATCTTTTTTATCATATTTTTGAAGGCAAGATAAACATTTTTATAACAAAGTAATTAACTTGATGACAATATTACATAATAAATATTTCTCATTATAGATGAGTCCTCAGAGATTTGTTTCTGAGATCTCTTTGTTAGAAAATAATATTATATTGTTTGAGCCAAGGACCTTTAGTAAATCAAATTTAGAACATTGTCTCTGTCCTCCTTTCCTTATTTAGCTCATAAAATTCGTTGGAATGCATCATCGGCTAAAAAAATTCTAGAAATTTATAATTTTTAATTATGAACTTTTTAATATAAATACAGCTATTAAAAATTAATTTTCTATTAATAATTATGATTAATCTAATTTTAGTTCAATTCTAAATAGTAAAATAATTCAATATCATAAGTACCTCTCCGTTTTTTTTTAAACATTTAAATCAATTAAGGCAAACTCATACACACAACACAAATGAAAGATTTATACCGAAAACTGTTGGTTGTTAATCAAAACTCTCAACCAACCGACCAAGGTGTGCTGTGCGAGTTCTATTTTTAACTAAAAAACTTCTTTGAATTATTACCCCACATTTGTAACTAAACCCTATTTATAGGCTAAGTATTTCTTTGAACCACAACCAGAAATAAAAATATAAATAAATAAAAAAAGAATCACACCCACAAATTAGCTTGAACTTTTCTCTATATATTTGCTTGTCTGAGTCTTGTTTTCCAAGTTTGATTTGCAAGAACAATGCCGATAATCAAGAAGCAAAAGCTACAAGAGCAGGAGGAAGAGAAGTACCATTGTCGGTTATGCGATAAGAGATTCAGTAGTGGGAGAGCGTTGGGCGGGCATATGAGGGTCCATGGGATGTTCAACATTGAACCCATCCTCCACCCGAACGAAGGTCCATCCACCACAGGAGTTGAAGGGGAGTCCTCCGACGGCAACCGTCTCCTTACTAGTCACATTTGTCAGAACTGTGGTAAAGAATTATGTTCGTTGAAATCATTGTCCAAGCATTGTTGTCCCGGTCTCGTTGGTGCTGGTGAGGATGATGGCGAGAATGACAAGTCAAATGGCCTTTTTTCTCCTTCACTACCCCGATCCAGAACTCCCACTCCGCCTCTTCTGCTTACAGAAGAAGAGCATGTTGCTAATTTTCTTGTATGGCTCTCCACTGCCCGTGCCAACCCTGTTCTCCGCAACATAGATGCAGCTGAATGCTCTTCTTCTGTTCTCCACATCACAGGTGCTGAGGAATGCTCTACTTCAGAAAGGAGGGAAGCTGATTATGTTGTCCTCCTCCCTCCTTCGCCTCAGCCAGAAAACCCAGAACCCCACGTCTCAACACAAACCCCTCCAAATGCACATCAAAATTTTGAATGCAAGACTTTCCAAAATGTATTTACCTCACATGAAGCACTAGGCGGCCATCGGGCTATCCATAAGAAAGTTAGGGGTTGTTTTGCCACTCGGCTTGAAATCAAGTCACCCAATATGATGAAGTACACATCAATCAAAGACGAAAGCAATAATATAATTCATCAAAATAATCAAGATGAGTTTTCCCATCAAAATAATCAAGCTGGGGCTTCCTCCGAAAGTATGGCATTAGCAATTGTTCCATTTGAAGGTACCTCATCGCAGTTGTCATTGCCAAAGATTGAATGATCTTAGTCATCTCATTGATATAAATGAGAGAGAGGGTGGTTCTACATGGTTGCAGATTGGGTTTGAATCCATATCTAAGCAGGAGACTAAAGCTGATCAACCTTAACTGATCATATTCCAATTCTGATGTTATTGTTGTTTAGTTTAATTTTGCAGTCATGTGATCGGCATTAAGACTTCTGAATTTATTTTTATTATCTAGTGAATAAAGAAGGATATATATTTACTTATTCACATGGATTCACATTTTCAAATGCTTCGGAAGCATAAATTATTTCTCAGATTCAAATGTTTTTGTGTCTACATATTAGATTATACTTCATGTTACATCTATTATTCTAATATATTAAAAATGGAAACTAGTGGGACTATTTATGATGGTTAAATGAGGGAGGAAATAAGACTATGTTTGGGATAGCTTTCTTTATTGCTTTACTTTTTGGATCATAATCATATTTTCTATTGGACAACTATTTTTTTGTTGATTTAAAAAAAACTTTTGAACTAGAAAG